ATTATTACTTTTTATAAAAAAAATAGTCATATATTGTAATTCAACAATTAGTTTTAGTCTGTAACGTAGTAACTATTCTAGCCTTTTTTTTTTAAGATAACGTGCACCATATCTTCGTGTTAAACACGTGTTTGTTATGTTATTTGTAAAAATTAAGAGGGGGCCCTGCCAGAATATCAGTGCTGCTGCGGCCTTGTGCCAAGAGTCGTAGCAGTTTAGGCTGAGGCAGTGACCTACATTGGCCTTTCCTTTTTATTTTTTTATTTATATCTTTTTCACTATATTATTGATTTTCTCTTTATTTATTCAATGTATGTTGTTCTGTAAATGTTTTAGGCCAATAAACGTTTTTCTTTCTTTCTTTCTTTCTTTCTTTCTTAGGCGGTCAGAAATTGCGAAATGAAATATTATGCGATAGCGATAAATCCCGTCAGAAAATGGCCCCCAGAATGCATCGTCGGAATTATGATTTTTATTTACTTTTTACGAGTTACCTTCGAAATACTTTTATTGAACGTTCGGATAATTCATTGAAAGACGAAGTTTCTGAATGTCTTTGTTAAACAACAGTCTTTGTTAAATTCTATGTTATATAAATCGATCGATCAATTTACTTTGCTGTTTTGTAAACCATTTAAAATTGAAACATTACAAACGCGAATCGTTGCTGTGAGGACAAGAAAATGTTGCGAAATGTAGCTTAGATATCGGAGATCTCCCAACAATGACGTCGAGAGGTATTTATTACAACCATCCGAAGGTTACCAACAATAGTTCTTATTGTTGTTTTACCAAAACAGATCGTCAAATATTTTTGAAGTGAAAGCTTCTTTAGCGGCATTGTGCATTTTCTCTTGTAGGGGTTAAAAATGATAAACTCGCGTCATGACACGTGGGCTGATCGCATCACAGGCCACGTGTCCTGATCGTAAGACGAAAACAATAATATTGGAAAGGACTTTCAATATATTGGACGAAACATAGTAATATTTTATTTTATCGTAATAATGAGTCTCTATTTAGGACGTCCAGGTGGCAGCTTTATTGCGAACACAATGCATTTTTTTCACAATAGATGTCGCTAGGTGCGCTTAAATGTGATTCATGTAAGTTGATTTTTCTGAGAGATCAACTTTTTTAATGTAATATAAATTTTCATGTTTGTGTATAGCGCAATAAATAAATATTGTATTCTACCACATAAATGATAGTACTTTTATACTGATAATTTAAAGCAATTCGTGCAAAATTATTCCCTAACCATTCCAAAATATCAAAAATGCACAACGTTCATATTCAAGTTTTCACTTCTGTCGGCATTCCCGGAATGCAAACCCGTTGTTTTTTTATGTTAAAAGGTTTTGTTTGCCACAAGCATATGGTATATAACCTGATGGTAAGCGGCCATTGTTCACCATAGCCTGTAGACGCATGCGATACAACAAATTTAATTCGCGCCGTTGCCTACCCTGACCCAATCACCTACCCCGTGGAGCCCTGGAACCTTATTCACGAACAGAAACACAGCACTATCAAAAGGTGGTGTTATTTTACTGTGTTCTTCTGTAAGGTGGAGGTTACTTCCCCAGACGGGCGCTCCAATTCGAACGAAAAATCCTCACTTAAAATACAGAATTTTCTCCCATGCCGGACTGGGAGGAAAGGGAAAACAAGGGGCCATTCGCCTAACGGAAATGCTTTGGAAAACGCTAACGCTTACGATTTTATTTTGTTATTTCAAGCCGCCTGAGGTATTCGAATGCCTCGCGCTCGTTTTTTTTCTTTTGTATTGGTAATAACAATATTAAAAAAAATGAGCGTGAGGTATTTGAAAACCTTCAGCGGTCAGAAATAACAAAAAAAAAATCGAGTATAAGTCGAAGCATTCAGTGAGAGCTGTTTTATATATGAATCATTAACTTGTCTGAGCCATTATAATTAAATTATACACTGCACGTATACTAAGGCGGCCTAATAGTCACACAAACATTCATGACTCGCTCGCCAGTCTGCCACCATGTAATAACAATGCAGAGACATATACAATTAAACGGCAATGAGTTACCACAGTGTCAAATTTTCACATTCGATTTTGTACTTTATGAGAGACAGTTTAAGGTTAAAAGTAGATCGGAGAAGTTTGTCCTTATCGGATATCCTTAGTTTAAGTACAGTACGGTTGGTGAAGCGAAATTACTTTTAATATTTACACGATATTAGTAATACAATGCTGGCGTTGACTATACGATATCTCTGTTCCATTTATATATTATCAGTTCTATGTATTTACTAAATATATTAATGAATAATAAACACAGGGCTCCAGACGCCAATTATTTACTCTACTAAAATATAACAAGCATGCACATTCCATTACACAAAATATTTAATATTGTTTTCGTAATGTAGAGTAACAACCTTGTGCGACACGACGAATTCATAAAGAACATCATTGAGGGAAAAGTGGAAAGAAAGAGAGGAAAGGGAAGACTACACTAAGCAAAATTAAGGAAAAGGTTGGCGTCGAGTCGTACAGGGGGCTCAAAGAGTTGGCGGAGGACAGAGGGAGATGGCGGGGGATCCATAGCACTGCACCGACAAGAGCGTAGCTCTTAAATTTGGTGAGAGAGAGAGAGAAAAGAGAGAGAGAGAGAGAGAGAGAGAGGAGAGAGAGAGGAGAGAGAGAAGAGAGAGAGAAGAGAGAGAGAAGAGAGAGAGAAGAGAGAGAGAAGAGAGAGAGAAGAGAGAGAGAAGAGAGAGAGGAGAGAGAGAGTAACAACGTAAAGCTATATAAAAAAGTATTAAAAACCCGTTAACAAGTACCTAGTTTAATTTAAAACTAGATGACCCGGTGTTCTTCCTATCACCTATCCTAACTACATTAAAATTCTCACTTAGCCTGAAAAAAATGTCAAAAAAAAATAATCGGTAATATTAGGCATTTTTGACAGGAAAGTTTATATAGAAAAAATAAATTGTTGATTTTACTACATTCCTCCCAATTTTTCCATATTTTATCACCGTTTAAACCTTCTCTAGACCTCCACGAAAATTTTAAGACCAAGATAATATAAATCCGTTCAGCCGTTCTCGAGTTTTGGCGAGACTAACGAACAGCAATTGATTTTTATATAAGTAAATAGATATAGAAGATAATCAATTCATAAGTATTTTTAACAATTATCTTGCACTAGCTGTGCTCCGCGGTGTTACCCGTGGTTTATTAGGGATATTTTCCCGCAGTTAAACGTAGCCTATATTTTAATCCAGGGTGTCAGCTAACTCCATTCCAAATTTTATTAAAATCGCTCCAGCCGTTTAGATGTATGTTTGTTACATACACACTCACACACACAAACTTTCGCCTTTATAATATTAGTGTGATTAATCTTAACAACATAACAAACGATGCTAATATGGAGAACATTGGATCTCCTTCACCAATCAAAGAAGTGATTTTTAGTCAATTATAAAGGATTCTTCCAATACCATCAATAAATTGATTTAGATATTGTATTGTACAACAACGACGGGCCATGAAATCGTCACGGAGGACGTCCTAGCTATTATGTTGCCTCGTCAACTACATATATCCGATAAACTTCCATTGTGCAAATCTAATTTACAATACACACGATTGTTTCCTATAGATATATTTGAATCCAACGATTACGTTGAAATGTGAAATACTTAGTCATTTGTTGTTTTAAGGGTTTGTCTATAAAGGGTGACATTAAGGTCACCGCTCATTAGACTAACCCGGAACCCGACCAGGGGGCCATTCGCCTAAAGGGATTGCTTTTATTATTTCTAGCCACCTGAGGTTTTCAAATGCCGCGCGCTCTTTTTTTCTTTTGCAATGGTAATAACAATATAAAATAAAATGAGCGTGAGATATTTGAAAACCTTTGGCGGTCAGAAAAACAAAATGAAATCGTAAGCGATAGCGTTTTTCAAAGCAATCCCGTTAGGCGAATGACCCCCAGCAATGCCTCAACTCATGTGGTTGGTATTCTTTGTATGGATTTCTTTGCGCGGACCTGATGTATTGAGCGTATACATCAATAGCAGGTATCAACGCTAATTACATCAGCTCCGTACTGTCACCGGATTGCCTCGCTCGCAGGCTTGCCGTGTGCTGACCCCTGGTTGTAAACGCGCTGCTCCTGGGTGGACAGCCCACTGCCTGCGAGTTGACAACGCGTCGGCGTTACGTCCCGCCCCTCGCCACTAGTTATTCTGAGCCTTTCTTTCGAACGAGTCGGGCGTGACTTTTGCTTATTGAAAATAAATTGTGTTAACACTTGTAAACCTAGTGACGATGTCTAATACACTACTTAATTTTCGCTGACAACGCTGAGTCAACTATGCGCCGGCACGACGTTCATCCGTCAACCACCTAACGTTCACTGGTTGACAACGAGGCGTCGACACTTGGCCCACCCGACGTTTAGTTGGTTGACAACGCGGCGTCCACCTGCGTTTGGTATATACGTCCACCTGCGTTTGGTATATACGTCCACCTGCGTTTGGTATATGCTCTTCGAATTATAATCAGCTACCTACAATTTCGCGTCAATAGCGTAAATCCGATTTTGTGTGATTACGTTGTTAAAGGCGAAACATGTGTTTATGTGCGTAGTGCATATGCTACCATTTCACAACTTATCGAGCTTCGCTAATATAATTTTGACGAATAAATTAGCTAAATTACAATATTTTTTATTTATGTTAAAAAGGAGCCATGTCATTATATTGCTATAACTTTAAAGTGTAGATGATTTTATAGAGGACAAAGTGCTTCCTTATTATTTTTTTAGTAATAAATAGGTTAATTGTCATTAACATTGATTAAAACTGTATTTGCAAGATTCCTATTATTCAAATATATCTGATTAACTTTTTAAAATGAATAATGCATACCCTAGGTAGGTAGGAAGCATACATTTGCATTGCTTCATATGAGGCAAAAAATTATGAATTTATAAACATAAACTTACCTGGAAGATGACAATAGCCTCATCATATTCCATACTTTGGGAGAAGTTGACAATGTTAGTAAGATTGTCAAAGGGCTGGAACTCTGTTGGTCTCCTTTTGTTACCTAAAATAAATAAAAAATAAAGGGACAATGACTACAGAAGAAGTTTTATTTTAAACATAAAATATTTTACGGGCTAAAATGCGCACTTTAAGAAAAGGTTTAATCAGGTCACACAGACAACACCAGCTTTCTACCAGATTGTCGCTCTGACTGGTTAAAAAACCTTTATTTAAAGTGGTTGTTGTATTCCATAAAATAGTAAATTTATAATGCAATGCCAAAGTTTAAAAGTTTTATTACTTTTTATTTAGATCATTAATGTTTAGTGTTTGTACCAAACATACACAAGAAGTCTTCATAAATGATTAGGCTTAGGTACTTACTAGCAAATTTTTCACTGACTAGCTTCATCAACTCCTTAGTTTTGGATGTAACAGGTGTGTACAGTACAACTGGTGGTTTGCCGACTTTAAGCAGGGAAACAGTTTCCTAAAAACAATGCATATATCATGAAATAGGAGCATGAGAAGTTTCAAAATAAAGCTCCTATTTAGTATTAATTCATATTATTAGAATCATTTATGAATATTAAATATACAATGAATTTTCAATTCTACACAATAACTACTTAGTTTTAATTAATTTAAGCTTGTCCTATGCAAGCTAAATTACATAACAAGGAGCTTGATGGTGCAGGCGCATAGCGTATTTGGCCTGGGATTATAGAATTTAGGCAACTTTCGCAATGGGCAGTCATTGGATGGGTGACCAAAACTTATTATCATGAGCTCCTCTGTGCTTCGGAAGGCAAGTAAAGGTGTTTGTACCAGCTGCATCTGCAGAAGTGAGCACCTACCAATCCACACAGGGTCAATGTGGTGGGTCATGGCCCAATCTGCTATCCCATCCATAGAGAAGTAGAGAAGGCCTGGGTAAAACCGCACTTCCAGGGCCTGAGAGGTGATACGTGAATATTTTGTAGAAAAGGTCTCTTTAAAAAAACAACTGGCGCTTCGCCGACCGCTACCGCAGCATGCTCGCTCGGCTCAAGCGTTATGGACACAACACTAACCTAACCTAGTGTGAAATATCACCACTTGGGCCCAGGAAGTACAGTTTAGCCAAGGCCTGTGCCCCAGCAGTGCAGATATTATTAGGCTGATGATGATGATGAAATAGTTACTTACATTAAGTCAATATTTAGTGTCAAATGTGTTTGTCATAATATATTTAAGATTTAATATATAAATATTTGATTTAAAACCAAACATTTGCAGTTAGAATTTAATAAATGTAAATTTTAGATGAATTTACCCTTTCTATAGTTAACACAAGTTATTCACATAAACACATATTATTTATATTTCTTATTAGAAAAATGAAGCTAGATCTTACTGACATTAGTGAAATAATAATTTTTATATAATAATGAACCATTACATCACTACGGGGCTTTGTAGAAATTTCTGTGTAAAATGGAATCAGCCAGACTAGAAAAACCCTTTTATAAACTAAAACAAAGTTTTTTCGGTTTATGAATAATTTGTTAAGTATATTATATGGTATCTGTCCAAATATCCAATAGATAATGAGTGACTAATATGTTACTTCAATTTTTTTTAATATTTAATTAAATATAAAAGATAAGTATGGCTAAACTTCACTTACTGTTTGGTGAACATCAGGGATTTCTGCATCACGAGGGTGACTTTTTTTTGGATTAATTTCATCTCTGAACACAAACAGGAGTATTATGATGATAATTGGAGCTAAAAACTCGACTGGAGTGCGGATGTACTTTCTTTTTCTGGCAATAATGTGCTTCCACATTAAAATACCAAGCACCCTACACATCATCTTGGCTCATGTAGGTCAGAGAACTATTCAAAAATTTCACTAATGATGATACACCCTTTTAAAATAAGATAACAGAATCTAGTGTAGAATTTTGGTGCACATAGCTTTACTTAATAGTTTATAACTCACATAAATTTACTTAATTATTTCAAAAAGAAACTCTTTTTGTAAACAAGCATATTTTATATTTTCACCACAACAGCTTAAGAAAAAAATCAAAAACAACAGAATCTAATACAGGAGCAACCAAGTTCTTAAACTTTAATGAGTTTTAATGGGTTCACTACACACTAATAGTTTTCTATGAAATAACCCATGCATCTGCTCAAAACAGAATTTATTTTGAACTTTTTAGATTAATTTGGTTGTACACAATACAGACGGTAGCCATGGCAAATCTGAAATCTGGCTGAAACTGTCACCATTAATCTATGACTCACACTGTCAGACTGACAGACAAGGACAGAGTGAGAGAAAGCAAAGAATTCATATCTACACAGCCAAGTATGTAGTAATAATTTATTTGAATATTCTGTTTTTCATGGATTTTCCTAAGAGAATTCGAAAATATATTACAGGGTCGCTCTATGCCTCTCAATGTCACGGTTGTTTGTTATTGTGTAGTAAATTAGTTCCGCTAAGCAGAAAAGGTGTCTGCGTTTCGCGCCGCGCCCCGTACATCTTAGTACTCACTATATGGTCTAAGTACTATAATCAACGATATTAAATACCCTAGATACACCAACACGAACAAAATCGTGCCCGAAACCTGTCCAAAAGGTACATTGAACGATCCACGGAGCTCCGTAAGATGATCGCGTAGTCAAAATCAATATAAGGCATTATTTAAATATTGAAAGTAACTTTTAATACATACTGTATAAGGTCTTAAATAAAACGCACGCGTCAAGGACTTCTGACAGCTCGAAATGCAAGCTCGTAAAATTTTACGACTTATTGTGGAAGAATTTAGACCTTAATTCTTTGACTCTAGGCGCGCGCTGTTTGCAATATAAAACCCCTTCCACACGACACAATTTGATTGCCAATCTAATTGCCGATTGAATTGGTTACAATCTGGTCGTCCGTCTACACATACACAACAAGATCGCCAATTTCAGTTTCATTTGTTGCCTCTGCTGAACGGACTTGTTTGTATTAAGATGCCTCTTACCAAGAAGCAAAAAATTGGATTAATCTTGGCTCTAACTGCAAATGTAGATGAGAAAAAAAGAAAAAGAAGACTGTGGCCAAAACAATGGTTATTAAAAAGAAAGCAATTGAGTCACTTAAATATAGTTATATTATATTTAAGTGACTCAATTCATAAACTTAAATATAGTTATACTTAAAGAGTAATATTTTTATCAATATTTTTGCACTTATTCAGCAAAATCTCTAAGGAATTATGCCTTGTTTGTTTATTTTTATATAATGGGTTAGACACATCCCAAAGGCATGGCGAGTCTTTATATATATCTAAAATCTCCTGCATTATTTCCCGTTCAGATCGAATTGACATAATATTGTCGTCATATTGCTCCATATTTCTTCTCAAAAGACAAGTCAACGCACACACCCGCTCTGAACGCCGCTTGCACAGTGACTACGTTAAAAAATTGGCCGGTTAGCGTCCACACCACCCAATTTGATTGGGCAATCCCGAATCGGGCGATACCGACCATCCAATGACCTTCAATTTCATATTTCCGTCCACACAATACAATTCGATTGTCAATCTAATCAAATTGGACGTAAAATTGTATCGTGTGGAAGCCACTTTACAGGCACGAACCGCGAGGAAAAGAGACGGCTATATGGCGACTAGGGTTGCAACGATATATCGGAAGATCGATAATATTGAGACCAAAATATCGATATTTATATCGATATTTAAAATTCACTGATATCGATAATATCGATATCGGAAATTCCAAAATATCGATATTTCGTAGACTAAATTTGAACAAAATAATATCAATTAATTTACCTGCTATGACTATCTAAATTGAATAATATCGAAATAACTATTGCTTTGAAATTGCAAGATCTTATAGATGTATTAAAAAAATCTTGTACCCCAAGAAATATACTAAACTGGTGTGGACTCTGGCATGATTCTCTAAACCTAAAATTAAATTTGACAACAGTGTATCCTTGTCATTCTCTATACAGAATGAAAAGGAGAGACTGATGTTAAATTTAGTTTTAAATTTAGATAATCATGCCAGAATCGACGCCAACGTATATAGATATAATCGTATACCTAATGGTAACTCATGCACTTAAATAAAATCCTTGCCTCTCTTTCTAGATAATTGTCAACTACTGATTAATTGAAATTTAATATCTTTGTAATATAACACAAAATATAATTAAGAATCTTATACAAATCGTAAATTTTTTAAGCTCGCCAAGTCAAGAAAGTAAGATAGGTATAGTAATTTTGGAAGCTTTGGGTTTACCCTATTCTGAAGCCTGATGTGTAGGTTTTACTAATTCATAACAATTGTTTTTCATATGATTATCTATTCTGATTTTGGCTGCGTGCAAATATTTAAAACAAAATAAATATCTTTGATTCGAAATTGCTTTTGATTTGATACTTCTTACAGCGCTATAAAAATATAGAAAATATCGTGTTCGAAATGTTGGAATGGCTGACATATCGGATCGGATATCGATATTTACCTGCCCACATTATAAATATCGATATTTCGGAAATCTTTGCTTCCTTAATAGGTTTTTGCTTTGCAAACTTAATACAAAGTAAAAAAAAGAAAAAAATATCGATATATCGATAATATCGAGTTAAAATGGTCGATATATCGGATATCGATATTTCCTGACTATCTATTTTCCTGACTTCGATATAAATATCGATATTTCAAAAGACTTTGCATCCCTAATGGCGACGTATAACCGACCGTGCATTTGAATATCACAAATATTTTCTATTAAATCAGTTTATAGTAAGTATTAGATCAAAATTTACTTCAAATGCGTTAAATTAATAAACATTGACTAGATATCTATCGAAAAAACGACACTTTTCGTACTCTTAAGTATTATTTTCACATTTTTTGCGGAGCTCTGTGGCATCTTGACTTTGTTACAGTCCGCGCGTGACTGTAAACCAAGAAGTGCTTGAGTATAGTTCAAGCACTTCTTGATTGGGACATATTTTGAGCGCTCGTAGTTTATCTAGGGTATTTAATATCGTTGACTATAATAGATCTTCATGCACAATTGTTCAACTTTTTGACACTAGATGGCAATGTTTTGAATTATCATTCTAAGGTTTTGTTAGCCCTGAAGTTTACGAGCTATCTGGCATGGCCCAAGTAAAAAAATATGTGTGATTTTTTTTGTGCATTATACAACGTCGAAAGTTAAGTAAAACACTTCTATCTAGAAATAATTTATGTATCATAGCTTCTATCACGTCACCGGTTTTTGATATATTAATTTTACTTTTTAGTTACCTTGGAGCTTAAATTCATTTCTTTAAGGCTGAGAAAAATCTCCGATTTAATAAATACTTGTCGATGTCGATGATACTCGCAGATCGAAGGGTCATATTTTCCTTGAGGTCGTTTGTAATATAGCGAAATATTAAATAGGTAATATGTAAAATCGCTAAGTACCACAGTGGAGATAAGATTCATTATGGGGGGCTACAAAGAATTTATGCACAACACAAATTTATTCCTGTCTAGGTTGAGGAAACATCAGTGGGCCAATCGCCTAACCAGATTGCTTTGGAAAACGCTATAGCTTACGATTTCATTTTGTTATTTCTAACCGCCGAAATACCTCATGCTCATTTTCTTTAACATTGTTATTACCAATGCAAAAGAAAAAAAAAGAGCGCGAGGCATTTGAAAACCTCAGGGGGCTAGAAATAACAAAATGAAATCGTAAGCGATAGCGTTTTCCAAAGCAATCCAGTTAGGCGATTGGCCCCCTGGTCTTTCTTTTAAAATTGTATATTGAGTTCTCGTATAAACCCTTTCACAGCTCTGTCATGTTTAGCCATACTGGGCACTTTAAAAAAAAAGTTCTTCCTATTTATCGCTTATTTTCCTATGATAACGATTTTACGATTGGCTGTTCCTTTGAGGGTACAGCACCCTTGACCACAAAAACCAACCAATTATTAGCTCTATTTTTATTTATAGGAGAATAAATAAAAGAAGAGATTTTTTCTCATTTTCATTACCAGGACCCCTTAGTCAGTTTATGGTTATAATGTAAGTTTGGCAAGGGATTATAAATACTTGGACAGGTACTTAATACACAATTTTAAAAGTAAGGGTGCGGCCAGAGTGCACTCAGATTCAGATTCCGAAAACAAGCGCGAGAAATAAACAGTGTAGTCTAAGCAGGTTGCCTGCTTTTTCTCGATCTTTGTTTTCTGAGTCTGAATCTGAATCTGAATCTGAGTGCACTCTGGCCGCACCCTAAGTCCTGATGTCTCTCATAGAGGGCCGTGACAACTGTCCGACATCTCAGCAACAGTTGTATCGTGCCACGATCAGTCTTCGTCGAACTCGCGGTTTCCTTCCATCTCAGTTATAGAGCAACACGGCCGATGCGACCAGGAGAGGGGTATTTGTTTCTTAGATTTTCACGCACGCCACTTATTAAAACAAGCTTAAATGGGTTCAAAATGCGTCTTTTTAATACTTTTTTGACTTTTCGCATCCTTTGCGTCGTCAGAATTGACAATTTGATTTTGATTTGAAGATTGATTCTGATGACGCAGCAGAAAAGGATGCGAACGTCAAAAAAGTAATAAACAGGCGCATTAGGAGAGGAGTACATAGCCTTCCCCCATGTCGAGTTGGGCATAAAAACGATACATGGTGTGAAGGATATGGCGATGTATTGTCATTGTTTATTACAGTTTTATTTTATATGTGTGTACGTAAACAGCGTTTGTGTGTTAACTTCTCCCCGCAAAAAATGACAGATTGATTCGAAAAGCACCTATTAGTTCATCATCATCATCATCATGTCAGCCGTATGACGCCCACTGCTGAGCATAGGCCTCCCCCAAGGATCTCCACACCGATCGGTCCTGCGCCACTCGCATCCATCGGCTTCCCGCGACCTTCACAAGATCGTCGGTCCACCTTGTGGGAGGCCTACCCACAGAGCGTCGTCCGGTGCGTGGTCGCCATTCCAGAACCTTTCCGCCCCAACGGCCATCGGTTCTTCTTGCTACGTGTCCCGCCCACTGCCACTTTAGCAGAGCCATCGTTTGAGCGATATCGGTAACTTTGGTTCTCCTACGGATTTCCTCATTTCTGATTCTATCGCGTAGGGAAACACCAAGCATCGCTCTCTCCATTGCTCGCTGCGTGACCTTGAGCCTTCTTATGAGACCCGCAGTAAAGGACCACGTCTCGCTTCCGTAGGTC